TATATATATATATGTGTGTGTGTGTGTGTGTGTGTATTCATGGTAGCTAAATTAATTTGAATTCATTGCGCAAGTCGAGCAGCTGTAAGTGCAAATACATGTCGCTCATACGCCGCCTCTGCCGCACAAAATTAATTAAACAATTTTGCATTGTGCGCGGGGTCATTAAGGGCTTTCGGGGGCTTTGAGGGGAGCTCAAGTTACTTTGTCCTGGGGTCAACTGTAAGTTTAGCCAGTGAGCTCCCTGATGCATTGCTTTGCGCACGCTAATTGAATTAAAGACGTTCTTTCAAGGCAGCAATAATTAAAAGCGGTTGACCAATAATCAATTGGCAGCACAGCTGGAGACAGGTACAACAGCAACAGCTGACAGTTGACAAAGCAACAACAACAACAGCAATAGTAGTAAAAGGCCAGCCAGGCAGCTCAGATGTGTTGTCCGCATTCGAGTAATAGAAATAAATTGGCGCCGCATGCAGCTTTGGGTCTAGCTCTAGCTTCATGGCTATTGTCTTGCCACGGCAGTCAAGTGGCACTCGTGTTAGTGTGTGTGTGTGTATGTGTGTGTGTGTGTGTTGGCTCATGAATTGCCAAGTGCGCCCAGTTGCCAGGCAGCTGCTTAGAGCTAATGAAATGCTCGCTCGCTTGCGTGTGTGTGTGTGTGTGTGTGTGTGTGTGTGTTTGCTCGCATCCCTTTATGTGTTTGGGTATCTAATTTTTATTTTTGTTATTCTCTCGACTCTTCGTTTCGTTTCGTTTCGTTTCTGTTTTGTTGCATGCCCCATAAAGGCGCACGTAATTAAATCTAACTTTATTAGCACATTTGTTCAAGTGCTTGAAGGTGTTGCCTTTCCATGCATGCGGCAAAAAGGCGAAAAACTTAGCTAAATGGGACCCCAACAAATGCCTTAATACCTGTCCAGGTGTATGTGTGTGTGTGTGTGAAGTGTTTAATTAACAATATTTGAGTATGGTAATTGGGGTTGTTTTTAATATATTCCTGAAATTCCAGAAATTTTCCACAGAAATTTCGAATGAGTTTGTAAATTGTTTTTACGCAGAAGTAAATAAATTAAATGTAAATATTTTAATATAT